GCATGGACAAGAACGCTTATAAAAATTCCAAACGGTTATGGAATAATATAACATTTAAAAATTGTAAACATAGTTGGTAACCTGGCAAGAAATGCTTTTCCGTGTTTCACAGAACAATGGTGATGGGCCTGAAACCCCGGTCTGGCTCATTCGAATGACCGTGAAGAGAAGCATAATTGGAAACCATAAATTTGAACTGACGCCAGCTATGAAGGGCTAAAACGATGGGTGGCCGCTTTGCCCCGGGTGGCCGCTTTGCCCCACTCTCCCCTAGTTCAAATTACTTGTGGAGAAAAGAGCCAAGCAATAGTGGTTATCTAAAAAAAAGTTTAACCCTGACCAAGCTCATGGGACACGGATAAAGCCTCCTAAATACCGTTCTATTGCCTCCTAATTCACACCCAGAAGCCAATTAATGAGCACGTCTTTTCTTCAAATCGTGCAACGTTCCATTTATGCAAAAAAAAAAAAACGGAGAAAACTCTTGAGAACGCACCGAGCCGACAGAAACAGATCCAAGAGTAATTAAGACGTTCTACTCATATTCCGCCACGCAGACATTTGAGAGATACCAGAAAGGGACCGATCACTCCTTCACAGCCCAGCAGCCGCGATTAACAGGTGTCCCTCACCGGCCAATGTTCCATGTGCTGGCTCCACACGGTCAGGTCGTCCAGCCTCAGGTCAGAGAACGTGTCGTTCAGGTACATCTTGAGTGCAGCGGCACGCGGCCCCAGCTCAGCCAGCTGTCTGTAGTTGTCCAGAGAGGCGCCCACGAACAGGGCGTAGTCGCAGCGGGCGCCGCGCGCCGCACACTGCAGGAGACACGCGAGTGTGCGAGGAGATAGGGGAAGTCAGTGACGCCGTGAACGACCGAGGAAGGGTGTCGTATTGCGTTGGCGATTGATAAATTCGGAATGCGTGGACAATGCTGGGTGTCGGACAGTGGCCTACAGTATCAAAAACTGTAAAAGCTATGCTAAACCATAGACCTCTGCACACCATAGACCTTTGGTGTACAGAGGTCTATGCTTAAACTTATTCATTTTGCCTTCAAATGGCAATGTTCCATGTGAAACAGACTACCAATAATAAATATCAATCGCAGAGACACGATCGCAAAGAAACGTGAACCACGCGAACAAATCATGTTCGTCTCGCTAACACCCTATGTTGTCATGTTTCTCAGAAGCACGGTATGTATGTGCCTCACCTCCTTGGCCATCTGGAAGCTGTCCCTGTCGATGACGGCCGGCTTCGTGTTGGGCATGGCCATCACCATGGTCACACCGCCAGCCAGCGCCGCCGCCGTTCCCGACGCAAAGTCCTCCTTGTGCGTCTGACCTGTGGAACAATCACAGCGGTACGATCAGAACGGTGAGTCAGTTCGTCACACGGTAGCGAATAGTGAGCCCAATTACGCCCATTGAATGTCGCTTTCCATATCAATGATCAGCACTTCTAAAAAATCCGGCGCTCTCTCTGAGTAAAAGAGCAAAAAGAAGAAAAAAGAATGACAGCGTGTCGGCGTATCGAAGTTTACTTTAAGAAGTGTAAACAATATAATAAAATGCAGATTTACATAAAAATATTTAAAAAGCTCGGGATATGATGTCATTCATTGACCATGGGCTCAGCTCAGAAAACAGGCGTCTCTGTTTCCAGTCACTGACCGGGGTCCCGCAGATGCACGTGAACGTCGATCATGCCCGGCAGCCGAACGATGCGACGCGACGAGATACAGTCAATCCCCGTGTTGATCACCGGAGCCTTGCCACCCAGTCGGTGTAGGGCCTGTGAGCGGTGGGCGGGTAAGGGTTAGACCCACGTGGGGAAGGAGAGAGGCGCGAGAGGCACAGACACTGACAGACAACACAGGGAACCATCGGATAAACATAGGGATAGGAACGGGTCAGACCGATAGATGCAAATGGCAAAAGAAATGTTTTGAGGCGAGGAGCATGCAGATAGACAGAATAGGGATGAAAAGAGAACGATGGGTGGCGGGAAAATAATACAAAATTACACATGGTTAGAATGGTAGGGACTAGGGGAAGAGGTAGACATTGGACAAAACTGATAGGGGGAAACAGCATCTTACAGTCTTACAGACGTTTAAAACGCGGGTGATTATACTACCCAGAAAGAGAAACGGCCAAGAGTATGATTGACACTGAAAACAGACACACTTAAATAATTTTTTTTTTAAATCAGAGGGACAGAAAACAGGTAACCGGCCAAGAATAGGACGAAATGAATGGAGAGTTATGTAAGCAAACAGATGATCAATATCTGACAGAACGACAAACGGGCATGAACAAGCGTGCAAAGCAGCATCTGCCAGGCCTGCACCGGTCTGCAGCCGTCAGTCCGCGGATCACCGACACGTCAGTTAGTTCCGTATGACTCAGTCCGTTATCCGTCTCAGACATTATCGGTGCGGGGTGCGCACTAGGTAGATAGCGGTCACAGATAGCGACCTAACGGCTGGGCAGAAGGGCACCAACACCCGGTAACGGAGAACACAGTGCGACTGCACGCTGAGCTATGTAGGAATGAAGGATAAAAATATTTTAACCTAGCATGTGCGAATAACATTAGACACATAAAAAGAGACCAGTACCCGACAAGAGAAGCCGATGTTTTTTGTTTTGTCTTTTTGCTAAGAAATATCAGGCCATTTGGTTATTCTATTCGCTTTAAAGCCATTTTATCATGTAAAATTTCCTCATGTTAATTAATCATGTGCACTTCAAATTAGCATGCTCATGTAGACCTTTGCCGTCTTATGATCAGTTAACTAACTAGTTAGTAACACCTGAGACCTACACAAATACCGACGGAGAGCCATTCACTAACACATCGACAGCATTAACCATCTCCCCTCCACCTTGCCTCACCTCGACCAGCAGTTTAGCGCACTTGACATCGGTGACCAGACAGACGCCGTAGTCGACCGCCATGCGTCGGGTGCGGTAGCCCTGCGTCTGGAACGAGCTGACGCGCCGCGCCCCGCCGCTGCGCATTGGAAGGTTGATGACCAGATCGAGCTGCTGGCGGGACAGGTAGTCGGCCATGCTGTTGAGCTCCTTGTCGGTGGCACCCTGCTCGGCGATGTTTTCGTACGCCCATTCCACCGTCTCGACCTGGGAGATAAGGAGTTATATGGTTAGAGTGAGGTCGAATCGAGGGTCATAAAGGAGCCAAAACAAGGTAAAATAGAGGGGCAAGATGAGAATCCTTTAGAACTAGGGAGGTAGCGAAGCGAAGAACGAACGGAGCTCAAAGTGGAATTAAACGGACACAAAATAGGCGTTATTTCTCCGTTGGGAGCTACAACTTCGTCAGGCTGAACGTCATTCAGCGGGACAATTGATCGAATTCAATACCAGATGGCGTTGAGGCCACGCGGCGGCGGGAGTCTAGCAAACAGTTGATCAGGACGGAGTCAAACTGAGGCAACTGACAGCTGTAGGTATGTACTGAGACAAGGCTGAATCCCTCACTATAATGGCAAGACTAGCGGACGAGCACCACACTAGCGGATGCTTCTATGTAATCAGTGTTTCCGTGGGCATAACCGATATCGATTTGTTGTGTGATAACCCCACCTATGAAATATCTAACAAATATCGAGGGCCTTGGTCAAATATCGATGACCTTGATCACAAAGTACAGTTGTTCTTAGGTCAACGTAAGTACCTTCGTTCGCTGGCGTAACCTGTTGGGGGTAAGGTAGAAACTAGAAAGTCTGTTGTTCGGTATTTACTGATTAATCTGTTACACTGATAACTGAAAAATGATAACAAAAAGCGGTAAGTTGAGGTGCACAAGTCACAATATTCAAGTGTGGTACAATACGAGCCCTCCCAAGATTACTTTGAGTCCGCCCACGTGGACAGAAATTACCTAGAGGAATGTGCCAGACCTCACGAGAGACGTTATCAGAAGGAACATTGATCATAAAACTGCTAGATAGTTCGGCATCATAAAGACGCCGTGACAGTAAGAGGGGCGTTAAAAGCAAAAAGCAAAAAAGGTTTAACTTCATAGGTCATATATGTAATGTCAACTAGGTGCATGAAAAGTGCTCGATGATGTCAAAATACCTTCCCTAATTGGATAATATAAATTGACCTGCCAATCCGACATACTACAAACTAGAGCACTTCACGGATAGGCTTTTTAGGATCCGGCCCGGCCCATATCCGGCAAGTCATATCCAGATCCGCCCATTATCCGCCTTTCTTTGAATATCAGAATCCGGCCCACCCATGGCCCGTATTGCAGCCAAACTTCCAAAAAATATCCGTAATAATCCGTTTCACCAATAACTGGTTTCACCCAAAACTGGACTAACAAATTCAATCTAAGGGACCAGACAGCCATACATCTCACAGACCATCATGGTTCCAAAAACCATGCTTATAAACCTAAAACCACATGAAAATCACCACATTGGTAAACTAGGTATCATCCTTCAGTGAGTGTCATAAAATGATGCCTATTACTTTAATCAAACCTCTGCTGCCGCTTAACACATTAGGTTAATTTTTAACTTCAATGTTGAATGTTAAAATTTTGATCCGTTTTGATCCGGGTTCAACCTTCAATTCCCAAATCCGGCCCGCCCATACCCGTTCTTTTTTAACAAATTTAGAATCCAATCCTATCCGGTCCGCGGATTTATCCGTGGATAACGGATTTATCCGGCCCATGAAGTGCTCTACTACAAACATCAGTTTCTGGCGAGGGACACTATCATCATAGTGTTTCAAGAGAAAAGCGTATCGCAAAAAAGCGTTCATGAAGGCAGACATGGCAGTAAGAGCCATTTGCTCGGTGATGCGCACTCTACCCTCTCCAACTCTACCACGCTCTCGGCTCCGACGCACCGCCCACCTCACCCACGCTGTGCCCCTACCCTGCCTGGGCGACCTACCGGCGCCACTTCTAACCAACGCTCAGTATCCGAGCACCGTCAGACAGCGATATCGGCTGCAGATAGCGAGCCACCGCGCCGAGGTCGGCGGCGGTAGCTGAGGGTGTCCCCGACCCCCGGCAGTGCCGCGCCGACCCGGTCACCGACAGCACGTGTTTTGGCGAGGGAGCGACTCTTGCGCCGTCGACCACGCGGCGACCGGCACTCAGCGCGAGCGGCGAGACTGGGACACGAGGCAGACGAGAAGCCTGTTGGGAGTGACGAAGAACTGGAGAGGAGGGTGCGGCGAGGCGAGAGCACGCCAGGTTCGGATGGAGTAGTGAGGACTGGTCTGCAGTCAAACAGGTGAGAAGGCCCCCACGATGCCGGCGCACTCAGTGGCGTGGTCGTATGGAGCTGATACCTATTGGGCCATGGAGGACAAGGTTCACATTACTCTAGTTTTCACCAGAGTAAACACTTGATAGACATTGGTCAATGCGGACAGAAGCATCATTCAGTGAATAATACCTCGGACCTATTGTTCGTTCTGTTTTCTGACATCCATTGTTCGTCGCATCACGCACATGACAATTATGGCACGAGGTTTATCACGAAATGACTGTAATCCACCTCTGACAGTCTCACACAGTGGTAACGTCCAATGATCAGCAAAGCGAAATTGGAACTTTGGTGCACCGGTGCCTTTAAGTTGCATCCCTTTTCTTCGAAGCACATGGTTCATAACCGCGTTTTATAAGTAACGTACCCATAAGAAGTAAAACAGAAAGAGTAAGAATCATACAAGAGTGAGACCCCGACAGGTACCAGTCAATGGATGTCATGTGTATACATAGAAGGCAAAAAGCCTGGGATGGGATCGTATCGCTATTTTGTAGGTACTCGAGGTGTAATCAATAAACACACAAGAGATGAATGATGTTCTTTTTAACACTTAATTGCAACCATCGACATATGCACAATAGGTACAGTCCACAGCAGAAGTAATGTGCGGTTTCAATCATGGGTATGTTCTGCTTCTGAAGCTTAGGAACGATTAACCAGACTACAATGAAACTTTGAATGTAGCTTATATGTATCGTCACCCTTTCAGCTGCAACTTAAGCTATTGACATCTTCTTTTCGATCACTCCGCATTAAACAATCGCCAGTCAAAGCCAACCGTTGAGATTGGTAAAACCCTACATTACTTTAGCGGTGGGCTGTACTTTAAAGCTATTTTGTGAGCTGCAAAACCACCCAACGTTGCATTTTGAAAACCATGGGCTCAACCAGGCATAAAAATTAAGCGAATAGCCCGAAACTTTCAAATCACCGATAGCATACATTTTCTCTTATGATGGGCAGCATGTTTAACCATGAAGCTCTGGCTCCAACAACTCGAAAGTAAGCGCAAAGGGGCAGAAAGGATTACACTAGCCATAGGTATATAGTTTCGCGGCTAAACACTGGCCACTCGGGTATACCTGAGTGCAATATCTTGCTTCTAGATGTCACTAGTGGTAAACGCCTGAGCGTATGCTGTGCCGCAAGGGTTACCTAGATGGCACACGCAAAAAAGACGGGACCAAATGGTATGGGCCTGGCCAATGACGGTCCTAAAAAGTGAAATAATTGTTATAAGAGTAGGGCTTCAATCAAGCGCGAAGGAGATCATATTGAACTCTTTCGCTCCTACCAACACATTTCACACGACACAAGCAGCCGCTGTTGAAACTGTGCGCGCATAAAGCATAGCTCTTTGGAGGACCACCTCATCAGTCATCAGTACAAAAGTTCGCTTGCAGGGGAAGGTTCAAGTACCAAGCGTCGAGAAGCTACTTGATGTAACGACTTGTCATCCTCACATGCGCCTCTTTTTTACGCAAACGGAGCAAACTGATTAGCCCTTTAGCTGCGAGACAAAACAACGGTAGGCATACCTAAGTACGAAAATAGATACAACTGGCCGTTTATGATGATAATAATAACGTTGAATTTATTATCATCGGACCACAAAGGGTGAGTGCGAAATTCGCAGAACACTTGATCAACTAATGGACCACACACTCCTGATGACTGGTTCGCCGCTGATGCAACCCCTTATCTTGAAATTATCAACCGACCATGCCTCGATCGGTGACGACCACGATATCATGAATTGCGAACGGAAAACAAGCTTTGTCCGATCTCTAATGCTACTGTCTAGCTTCAACGAAAATAGAACGTAGCGCGTGCTAGTAATGAATGACATCGAAACAAACATTCGTTATGACAGTCAACCGCATCAGATGACATTCTGAAAAAGGCACAATATCTTCCCCGAGTCAGCACCATGGGGGTGGGCTGCAGCCGTTGACCGGTGACCTGACCCGTGCCCTCTGTCCCAGGTCGCCACCATGGGGGTAGGCTGTAGTCGTTGACCTGACCTGACCTGACCCGCTCCCCCTCTGCCCCCGGTCGCCACCATGGGGGTGGGCTGCAGCCGGTGACCGGCGACTTGACCTGACCCGCTCCCCCTCTGTCCCAGGTCGCCACCATGGGGGTGGGCTGCAGCCGATGCTGTTCCGACAGCCGGCACAGCTCCCTGGCGCCGTCCACCATCCCTTCCCAGCGGCCGTCGGGCAACGGCTCGGCAGGCAGCGGCGCGTCCTCCTACGAACAGGAGCGCGAGGAGGCGCTCCGCCTACTGCGGGACGAGTTCAAACGGCGGCCCACCGTGTTCCTCATCAGCCAGATTCTGATGTCGGTGCAGTTCTTCAAGAACTTTAACAGGTGAGAGACACTGACTATCCGTTAGCGCATCGTGGAAATCAGCGGGCGACTCCTTAGTTCCACAGCGTCGAACGCTTCCGAGCGGGCAGGCAGCGCTGCTCTCCTCCGATCCATGGCAAATAATTATCATTTGCTAATACACGGCTTTTGTTAGTTGATGTCAATATTGTTAAGTTATCAGGAAGTACTTTTCTACTGGGGAGGTGCACAAACTGCGCATTATTCTAGATTAACTAGCACCCCTATCGCTAACAATAACAACAGAGAGAAAGTGACACTTGGTTGGTAATGATCAGTGGATACACAGATAGATGTAAAAGACAGAAAAAGCCCTACAGGAAATATCGAATTGAAAACCGGATCTTAAATAACCAGTATAACGCCTTATGGGGCGACTAACGGAGCGAGCGAGAGGCTGGGCCTTGCACGTGCGAAATTTCGAGGGGGTACCTCCAACTGACTTGTGCACGGCACCCTACTAACCGGTCTCTAGCGACGTGCCAAATTTGAGCACAATCGGCCCAGCCGTTCTCGAGATCTGGAAGCGGCACCCTGCACGTGCGCACGTGCAAAATGGGTCCCAACTGACTTGTGCACGGCACCCTACTAACTGGTCCCTAACCGTGTACCAAATTTGAGCGCCATCGGTCCAGCCGTTCTCGAGATCTGGAAACGACCCCTGCACGTGCGCACGTGCAGCAGCACCCCAACCTTAACACATGCAGATGAATTATCTGATGGAGACCTAACTGTGTACCGAGTTTCAATTCAATCGGCCCAACCGTTGTGCCGTTATTGAGGTTGCAATTTTGGGGGTTCTTAAAAAATGTCCAACTTTACCACGCGCCACGTGCGGTGGTTGGCAAGAACGCATGGTGGCCATCACACCACAGAACTTTTACGTCCAAGTGACATTCAGTAAAGAAGACCGCTTGTCAATCGGATGTCCCGTTCCTAAGATATTAGCTTTTGAAGAGCGTCCCCACGGCCGGCCGGCCGGCCGGCCGGCCGCTCATACTCAGAAATTTCCGTTAATCTAAGGAAAGACTCCGCTCGCTTCGCTCGCTCCGTAATAACACCGAAACGGGACCAGATAAGGTAGAGATACGCAATGTTGACCTTCGATAATGTAACTAATACTTAGAGCAACGCGATTTGACATAAGATAAAATGGGCATGTAAAAAGAGAATAAACTGAGGTAACTGAAAGGTTTCAAGCTGTCTTGAGGGTATCAAAAATGACTGTACTTGACCACGGTGTTGCAGGGACAAGTTGAGGATATTGCAGCTAAAGGAGGAAAAAGAAGAAGAGCTAAACAGGGCCTTGCAGAAAGACAAAAAATCGGCCGCCTATCTAGGATCTCCCTATGAGGTAAGTTAGAAATTAAACAAATTGAATGCAATAGAAACAACGCATATCAAAAATCATAGATGCCGGAAAATGTGCCTCTTTAAACGATTATGAACGTTTTTTGCCTAGCTGCAATGCATATAAAATATAGAAAAGCAATATTAACTCACTTGAACGAAAGCAGAAAGAATACTGCGGAAAACTGAAATCAGCGACTGTGTATCATACATACAATTAAAAGTCACATTTATCACCATTATCTTATCGGGCATTTAAAATCCTTCTACTCATAGTAATAGCAACAAACTCAGGCAAAGACACTCGTCGCTTATTGTTTATCAGTCCACCTGTGACGTCACCGACCCTCACCCATGACGTCACTCACCCGCCAGGTGATTGGGGAGGTAATGGCGTACTGTCGCAGGGACGGTGACGAGCCGTGTCTGGGACACGACCTCGAATACCTCATCATGCACGACTCGATCGCCGTGAGAACGCCGTCGGATGAGCTCAGTCCTGAGGAAGAGGCTAGGACATACCAGTTCATCATGCAGCGCTGCAGGAGTGAGGGTGAGATTCAGGGGCAGCTGAGTCAATTTGGGGATAAATATCATGGATGGTATTTAATGTGACAAATAATTTACGCGTTTTGCTCAACATTCTAATCCTAAGCACGCGTAGTAGTGCATTTATAGAGCAATGAGTAGGAATGAGTTATTAATGTTTCCATCATATTTCGCTTAACAACTAAAACGTCATTAGTCTATGCGCCCCAGCGTGAAGCCGAGTTAAGCTGTGTCTTCTTACATCAGGCCTGGTTCTTCCTGTAACCTACCACACCTAACCAGATTCCGGGCCGCCCGACGAAACTCCTCCCTCCGGCAGGCTACACCCGACTCCGTCAGACGGGTCGGATCCCGGCACCGACCATCCACCGGTCGCGCCTCTCCGATATAAAGAGCCGCGAGTGGTCGCACCAGTCGCCGCTAAAAGAGTCTGAGACGGAGCCGGGCGCCAAGGACCGGACGTCATCGGGTAGCGCCGCCAGCCCGGAGCGCACCCCTGACGCCGAAGCCGCCCCACCAGCGAAAGAACGGCAGGGTGCGGCAGTCGAGAAATCTGGAGCGAATGCCACCCCTGTAGGGAGCCCCAGCGGCTCCACTGACCGGGAAGGCAAGGCCAAGAGCGCGGCTGGCGCAGCCAAAGAGGCGGCGTTAGGTGATCGACGACGCTCCCGCGGAGCCGACTCGTCTGGTGACGACTCCGAGGGTACCTCATCCAGCAGCTTAGCCAGCGCCGCGGGAAAGAGACAGGTGAGGAGACATTTCAATCATCAGGAACTTCCACACAATAGGTACAGGCTGTTCAAGCATTCATTTATATTCACTAGCATCGTACATTCTGACCAAAGCAACTATTCAATCAAACCTTCTTGCTTATTGCGGAATCAGCAACGGATTACGAAATAGAGGTAATAAGCATTACACAGGCACAAATGCTTGTTCTTTTTTGGTAGTTTGAATCACATGCGTTGTAGGTGTAACTCGTGGAAATGTGTAGCTGAAATCATATTGTGTTGTAAAATTTATCGTCATTTTTTCTACCCCTAGGTTGTTGCTGAGCCGAGCGCAAACCATCAAGGCGAGGGACAAAAGTTCCTGGAAAACCTGAAGAGAAGAATGAACGGAGATATGAAAGCTCGGGTCAACCTCAGTGACGAAGAGCCGAGTGACGAGGCTGAAAACAGCGCTGCACAAAAACCGACGCTCACTATCACAGACGAAAGTGGCGCAGATCGCAAAATGTCCTCGGAGCCTGAGTTGACATCAGCCGCGCCCCAGCAGGGGGACAAGTCCCAAGGAGCCGCTGGCCACCCTGCGCAAAACGGACCGGAGCCGGCTGATGGTTCCCTTGCGAGCGGCAGTCATATGACGAGCCACACCGCACCCTATGGCCAGCCCTTCCCGGGTCAGGGAGCACCCATGCCGGGACAAAGGGCTCTTAAAGATCCCAACGCCCATTTCCCGGGCCACGTGCCACCACACGTTCCTTTCGGCCACTTCCCTCCACCGATGGGTGGAGCCGTACCTTATCATATGCACGGAGTCATGCCGGGATACCCTCAGCCAACTCCAGAGAACCCTTTACCATTAATGATGCACCCGGCCGCGCCGCACTTCGCGCAGTTCCAGCCGGGGATGAGCCCCTACCAGCAGTTTGTCGGGCCCTACCCGATGGCCTCACCGCCTGTCGGCTGGTCTCCGGAGCAGATGATGCTGGGCAGCCAGCAGCCCTACATGCCGGGAGTACCGCTCGCCAACCAAAACCCGGCCGTCGGCTTCGGTATGCCCGGCATGCCAGGCCAGCCGGTGCCTCCTGGCTACCTTGGCGCAGGCCATCCCTACATGCATCCGGCACCTATGTCCGCGGGACATCACCTAAATACTATCTCCGAGGGCCGAGCCAACACCAAGCCGCGACGGGCGGCCGCCGAGGCGAAGCGACACACATCCGATGTCAGTTCTAGCCACTTGATGCCGCCATCACAACACCACGGTAGGCGAAAGTCGCGCTCCAAGTCGAACGCCAGTCTGCTGGCGCCGGTCGACAGCCGTCGCCAGTCTACCTCCAGCAGCACGAGCCGGCTCTCGTTCCTCGACTCCACCACCACCGACGAAGAGGGCGACACGCCCGGTCTCGTGCCCCATCACTGCTTCAGGAAGTTGCGGATGCGCGTCGACACCGGCGACGACGATGACGAAGATGTGTGGCACGAGCCCCACTACGTAACGCACCGCTTCCTCTCGTCAGAGCGCTTCCTCGGGGTGTTCGCCGACCGGTTCGGCGAGCTGGTTCAGCTGATGGCACGCGACGCGTGGCTGCAGCACGGCGGCCGTGGCCTTCTCAACGGTGCGGTAGTCCAGTGTCGCGAGGTGCTTCCCTCTGGCCTGCGCACAACGGCGCGCATCACCGCCACACTGCAGGTCTCCAGCTGGCCGTCTGAGCACGCCTTCGAGTGGGCACTGCGCAAGCGAACCGAGCTGATCGACGCACGCAACCAGTGGCGCTTCGTGTGGCCGCCGCAGCGAGTGGTGCAAAACGTCCTCCAAGAAGTTGGCTGCAACCTCGTGCCGCTGGCCAGCCAGAAGGGCCGCGCCGCCGAGCTCGAGTGGGAGATCGCCTTCCAGCAGGCAGAGATCAAGCTGATCAGCTCGCTCGGCCTGGTGCACGTGCACTGCTGGGCGGCGGCCAAGCTGTTCTTCACGCACTTCCTGTCCGAGTTTGGCTGCCTGCAGGAGCGCCACATCCGCCATCTCATGTTCTGGCAGTTCGAGAACAACTTCCGCGACTGGCGTCTGGAGGGACTGGGCGCCACGTTTGTCGGCCTGCTCAGTGCGCTGAAGGAGAGTGTGCGCGAACGCCGCCTCGAGCACTACTTCATCCGCAAGCGCAACCTTCTGCAGAACGAGAGCACTGGGGACCTGGTGAGTGCTCAGGAGAAGATACAGCGGGTGATGGAGAACCTCCTACCGAACATCATCATCCTGATGAGCCGCCTGCAAATCAGGAACAAGGCGTTCCCGACCCTCGACTGGCAGAACCTCTACGACACGCTTCGCATGTCAACTACAGACATCATGAAGAAATTGATTCCGGAGCTGAGCATCTCACCGGATGGAGAACTGGTGAGCGAATGTCTCGTCTAAATCAATACATCTCCATGTCACTGCAACGTACTACGATAACAACATTTATTTGGCATGCAGCATTGCATGCAAGTGCAATGTAGACATGCATTATTTTGATGGGTGATGTCAGTTTCAAAGTATTGGGAAACTGCAACCCAACTGATAAGACCTACCAATAGTGATGCATTCAACACAAAATTCTAGTTTTGATGTTTTGAAATAAATGCTGAATAACAACGAAATGAATATTAAATCGGGTAAAGACACATACGTGATTACAAAGTCATGCCAACTGAAAACAGCAATAGTTGTTTAGGTGTTCGGCGGTATCGTCAAAATCATGATTTTGACAAACCATCGCATATAAGAAAAGTTGACAATGGCCTTTCGTTGTTTCACAGGGCAATCACCGCGACTCGCTCGCGTTTAACCCAGCACAGCATGTCGACGATGAGGAGGAGGATGGATGGATCATCAGCCGCCGCCAGCAGATGGAAGAACGCTACCGCCAATGGCAGCGAGAACAACAAAAGCTCAAGAACAAAAATCGGCGGGAGAGAAGGAACAGGGCACAAGCAGCGCCAGGTAAGCCCTTGCCAGAGTTTGCTGGACCCCGTGACAAGCTCTACACGTTGGGCGATGGCTTCCAGCCTCGTGTCGAGATGGTGCTCAGTCTCTTCATCCGGCACTTCAACGCCATGGCCGAGAGACTCATTGAGCACGAGAGCATCTATACGGCGCTGGCGTACATCGACCACAGTCTGAACCTGTGCACCTTGCTCAGCGAAGAGGGCGGCGCCACCGAGACTGCCGAAGAGCTCCGCGAGAAGGTGCTGGAGCTCCAGGCGGCGGCGATTGCTAAGCTTCCTGCACCCAGCGAGAGTGTCCCCCAAATCGACCCTGACCTCCTGCAGATGGCTTCTGGAAGTGGACGAGCTTCCCAAGATCATAGCAACTGGACCGTCGGTCCAGAGAAGGGTCCTGCCGCGCGGCGCGACTTCAATCGGGAGGCGGCTACGGCTACCGCTGGCGACATGGCCGAGTGGCAGGCGCAGGGCGGCGTGCGGCCAGAGACCGAGGGAGGCGACCAGGCCGAGCGAACCGGCAGCGGAAGCCTCTTCGACGGACCGGCGCTGTTCGGAGAGATGCGCGTCAACCCGGCCTTCGTCGAGGACCAGCCGAAGGCGGAAGAGGACGGCGCAGAGTCTGACGATGCCGAGGTATCTAGGAGCGGGCTACGGACATCTCGGGGAGAGGCTGATGGGAGCGAGGACCTGGACGAGAGTCGGCGAGGAGCCGCCGTCGGCAGGAGCAGGAGCGGGTCACGAGGCAGCAGCGGTCAGGCGATCGACGAAGGGGAAGAGGAAGACGAAGACGACGAGGAGGGGGGCGATGAGGATGAGAAAAGCGGAACTGAAAACGACGAATCGACAGATGAGGATGATGATGCCGAGGACAGCGAGGACACAAAAATGTAAGTGGGCCAGACTTGCCACTGTTTTCGGCAGTGAAAGTGATGCATCACATCCATCTCTAGTGGTTTTGGATGATTCCCCTGCCTTGTGTTCGGACCGAAAGCGCGAACACTGAGCTACTGTCGCCGACCTTGCTCAAGTCAGCGTCGCGCTGATAAGCTGTAACAAACCGATCAAAAGAGCTTTCCGCGCCCATGACGGGCAATCCGTATCAGTCACACACGGACAGTAGCATGGCATGCCAAGGATAGTGTGGTCGCGTCGGTGAGATGAAATATCACCCACATAGGGCCACGGCAGGCTTTCGCCCAGTGGGAAGGCGAAACCCAGTGATACTAACTCTTTATTGGCGGCTAGTGCGACGGTCTGCCGACTTACTGGCTAGTGAAGCGTTCCACGTATATGTTTGTGCGAGTGGGTGAGGAGGGGTGACGAGGGGTGAGAAGGGGTGGCGATTAGAACCGGTAGAAGGGTGACAGCACGAAGTGTCAGAGCTAGTGACTAGGTGCACTCTCGTTGATCACTCCCCCGCATGACCGGGGCTGGTGAGCAGCGGTGGACCCGGATGTTCTTGGTGGTCGCCCAGGACGATAGTCCAATACTCATCCCGCTTACCGAGCGCTGTGATACGGTATCTGGGCGAGGATTTGGCCCGGACCGACCATGTCGGCAAGGTTTTCGAGCACGTAGTGTGTGTGTGCACGGGCAGAGCGAATGGCACCGACGATTCCCCGGGCCACATGCAGACCAGTGTTGCTCAAGGTGAAGCACTATCACAGGATTTGGGGCGGCTGGCCTGCTCCCCAATCACGCCCAAATAGAAGCGGTGCGATATGCTATCCGTATATTTATGTTACAATGTTATGCGTTCTACCAGTGGCGTAGGAACAAACATGCATTTGTATATAACGCAATTATTTAAAGTGATGTTTACAAAATAAATGAACAATGACAAACAGCGTTTTCCGTTAAGCTCCACATTGACTGAAATTCACAATAAAGAACGGCAGACCGGTTGCTGTTCACAAACCGCATTGTCGACTGGCAATACCAGTAATTAGATACTTTGACGACACTTGTAGGTACGAGTATATCTCTAAATTTTGAAAAGGGTCAGAAGCCTTCTGGGATTGGGGTGCAAGCCTGATAAAGACAAGTAGAGGCGATCTGCAGGCCGGGTGAATCATCGCATAAAGCTGCAAGTACCATAGCTAACCCCGAAAATCTACACCAAATCTACTCTGAAAATCAAATATTAACATCCCGAAACTATTTATTTATTTTATTTATTTCACGTCATTGGCTCACTCCACACTTGTGTGGCTATTCTAGTGCCAGAGTCAAATAATAAAATAGTGGTTGTTGGGATGACACACATACATAACATTCATACATACATACATACATACATACGCCCTCGTTCCCCCACCAATCTCACAACCACACTATCACATAAGTGTCGTCACTAGGCGCCGCTAACGATCGTTCCTTTGTTGCTGCAGCAAATGCCGACGAAGTTCTCTTTTAAAAGCTCTCATGTCCAGATCACGCATGCTTGGAGGCAGTCGATTAAAAGCCGTTGCTGCAGCGAAAAGGAATCGTCTCCTCCCGGACTCAGACTTTATCATGGGAACATGTAGCATGCCGTCCTGCCTCGTAGCTCTTTGGTGTACATGCCGTCTTCGCACAAGATTCTCCGAGAGCAACTCGGGCTGAGCCGTAACCAGCGTGCGTTTTAAGAGCGTCAGCACACGGTACGTATACATGTTGTGCGCCGATAGCCACTCTAAGTCACGCAACACGTCACTCACATGGTCAAACTTCCGTCGCCCCGATATAACACGTGCAGCAATTCAACACTTTCTGTAGCTATCGCTTCTCAGTGGAGGATAAGAGGTAATGTGTGATGTAATGGGGCGTTTATGAAAAAAATTGGGAAGTAAGTACCACTCTTGAGCACTCGCCGCACCTTGCACTGACTCATGCGGTACTGAGCTAAAAATAGCTAAAAGCACCCAAACCCGACTACCTTTCTCGAAGCACGTCTATCTGCGTCTGGAGCAGCAAGCTATCGAAAGGATGTGATTTGGTGGCCTCGATTCTTTATCATGCTCTCAGGCTGCAAAGTCCTATCGGTCATTGAAAGACAAATCGTAAAGCCACTGAACACTTGAAAGAAGTCAAGGAAGGTCAAACGAGATCAAGAGCAGGGAGAGCTGCAATACGGAAGTTAATTAATTATCTTTTGACAGCCAATTCTTAGAAAGGGTAGGAAAATCCCGGGGCACATAGAACCGCGCGATGTCTGCTTTGCAAACAAAAGAGGGTCGTAGGTGAACAAAGTGTGTAATCACTGCAACATCCTTTGTTCCACTGCTTGCACGGTATCTGTGTGCATTTTGATTTGGCCAGAACGCAGATGTGTAGCACCTACCAAGGCCGTTCAGTCTGCGTCAAGCGAAAAATAAACGTAGCAAATATGAGTGAACGTGATTGAAAGATTCCCAATGTACGATTACAGTTGTAAAGTAAAGGTATATTTGAGCAAGTGATAAATTTTTAATGTGTGTGCCTTTGACTTCAAAGGTAGTGTGCCACCTTTGAAAGATTTCCCATTTTATTTTTCCTAGGATAAGAAGCTTCTGTTTTTACCTAATATCGCAAAAAAAAATCAAAAATGGGCCTGGAATAGTGCCTTTTTCGCCTAAAAGTTTATCGGTTTTTCGATATGTATAACAACTGTAGTGGGCTGGCCTGCAAACAGGCGTCGGCAACAATCGCGAATGCGGCGCACATGTGACAATAAGCAAAGGTCATTATAGAGTTACGACGTACGGGAATGAGTTATCAGCTGTCTAATCGTAGACAACACAATGTCGAGCCGTAAACTGTAAGCCTGTATTGGTATTGTTTCTTTTATTTGGCTGTCGAACATTATTTATGGTTTGAAATATGATTTTATGTAAAATATTTGATATGAGAAAGCCGTCTCTTAAGTTATGACCCCATTTCACCACACGCAAGTGGCAGAAATGACAATGATCAGCTGACGCATTTTTCTTGGCCGAAGTCAGAGCGCGCGGCCCGACGCACCACCACCGCACCACAAAGTATGAGCAGAAGCCGCGCCCAAAGCCAGGGCCCCGGTAACGTGAGGTAGCCGAGTCGGGGCAGCGTGCGCTGACCCAAGCCAGGGCCGCAGCTTTGGGCGCGGTCTACCGCATCCCCGCGGGCAGCCCCGGGCTATCACATGACACCGGGAGGACGCGCGGCCCCGGCTTGGGTCAGCGCACGCTGCCCCGACTCGGCTACCTCACGTTACCGGGGCCCTGGCTTTGGGCGCGGTCTACCGCACCACCTAACAGGCGTGTTCGAAACCGCAGGAGATGATGATGAACGGGTTTATCGAAACTTGATTGGATGAGCATATCGGTAATAGCGATTTCAGTGTGTGCATTTATTGTTCATAGTGGTGTGAAATGTGGTTGGGGTACGACCGACAACCCGTCGGGGCGAATTTCGCACTGGGGTACTCAAAATTTGAAGAATTTAAGACGTTTCCATGAGTTTTGAAAGTATGGATAAGTTCTAAAAATCCGGCTCTCCTTATCTGGGCCATTAACTCCATACGGTCCAGGAAAGCTGGCACACTACCTTTAACCCGCGAGTTGCTGGGGGGGGGGGGCGTTAAACGCCCCCACTTTTTTCGCCGGGCCGTAGCATAAAAACGGCGCGCCGCAGGCGCGCCAAATTTTGGGTACCTGTAGGCAATTGATTGAAGTTTATTGTGACAAAGTTTCAAAAAAATCGGTCCGACAAATTTTGAGATATCGAGGTTTTAGTGACGTCATGATTTCTGAGTTTTCGACCAAAAACGGCATATGTTCAAAAAATCATAAAATCACAGAACAGACATACAGACATGCAGTAAACGCCATTAGACTGCCAATACCATGAACAATCAAATGGCTATCTTCGATTATTGATTATCGTTGCGCATTTTCCAAAATCTTGAACTGAATCTTGGCAATTTCTCGTGACTACTTCACGACCATGATACATGCATTTCTTAAATTGAACTTTTTGAGCCAAACACGTACACATATGATAAAATGAATGTCACCATCGTGTTCTACGCCCCAAATTACCCATAAAACATGTGTCACGGGTTGCGAATATCAGTTTTGATTTTCGGGGATATGTGCCTACCCGGTTGACCTGACCTTGACCCTGACCTATGCTTGACTGACCCCTACATGGAGCTGACACTCTTGTAGGGCTTATGTGATGGATTGTGCACCGTTTTGACAGAGTTTATGACGAGAGGCGCCCATTGCGAAGTCCTGAAGTCCATGCTACTGAAAGCCCGATTTCAGGTGTTTGACCTGACCTTGACCCGACCTGTGGCCTCAAAATTCAACTTTAAGGTACTCATCTAAAGCGTCTCGTCGCGTTCTTTCGTTTGCCGCCTCGTGCGTTTCGCTGCGCCTATTGGTTCTCGAGTTATCGGCTGGGGGCGTTTAACGCCCCCCCCCCCCCAGCAAACGGTGGGTGGCGAAATACCCCAGCAACTGCCGGGTTAATCACTTCTTATTGAAAAGCATTATCACAAATTCACAAGTGCTCGTCACGAAATTCAAACTTAAGGAGCAGCAAAATTTCAGCGTAAAATGTAGGAGCAGTTCCGAAGAAAGTAAACGATTTTCACTACCCAGTGAAAAAGAAATAAAAAAATGCCAGACAACTAGGCGGCAGGGAAGCAACATAAAGCGCTGTTTTCATTCAGCCTTACCATACCTAGGCCTCTAGAACGGTCAGTCCCAGTCGGTCGGCTCCTCAGTTCTCTCCCTTGCGTGTTGAACATTGGTCAGTATCCGGTCATCGGGCATTGCAGAACATTCGGATCACCTGTTGGGACCGACCGTCTTGCGGCTTGAGAATTTTACTTTTAGGATTTACTTTAGCTAGGAAGGCAATAAGATCGTCGAATGTTCCCAAATGACCAGATTTTCATTCACATTGTACCGCTGTTAGTGTTAAGGCAACAACATTCTTCAACGCTGAAAGTTGTATACCAAAACAATAAAGATCAAGTAAAGAGTTGTACTTGCCGGGATGCCGTGTTCCGTGTAGAAGTCCGCAGTACCGATGCTGGCAAACAGTTTGTAGTTGAGCTGGTGCAGAATCTTAGCGCTCGACAGGAACTCGCTCTTGTGCTGAAAGAGATCACAAGAAACTCCTGAACACTATGCCGAACACGGATCACAAATAACACCGGTGTTTCCGCTCATTTCTGATAAGCTTTGTTATTGGACATAATTCACCAACTATACGCAGTTCAAGGAAACGTTTGGAAGGGTGCAATAATTAACAGTTTTTGGTCAACAATATACATATTATAGCAGCCGTCAGCTATTGAGAGCTTGATGACGATATTTAAGTTGAAGGCAAACGGACTGCGATGGTTGGTCACGAGGCCGAAATCCACGAAAAACTGGCTAGCCAAAATGGAAATTAAAATCGCGCGTACCAACCTTCCATTTTTCATAATCAATAATCATTATCTATAAATAAACAATTATTCACACACTGACTTTTACACGTATTCAATCATTTATTCATTCATTCATTCATTCATTCATCCACTCATTCGCCCGTTCATATTTACTTATTAATTCATTCCAGCAGTCATTTATTCATCACTACTGCATGTTTAGAGAAGCAAAAAACAAACCAAACAAAACAAAACAAAACGTCAAGCTATACCTACTCCAAGCAGCTGCACCCTGTCAGTAGGCTGAAGGACACAGTAACACAACGCCAAGGATAGATCGTTACAAACGTGCACAGTACGCACACAACACAGTAGGCTATTCACACTCGATAACATTATCTATCTTTTGCAACAGAAGAGAAAAGATGAAAAACTAGCACAAAAGATAGCAACAAACAAACAGG